CCGACTTGAAGGCAGTCAGGGAACTGAGCCACCCAGGCACCCCAAATCATTGTTAGTTTCTTATGTCTTACAGGAACATAATGTGCATTTATAGCTTATATATATATATACAATTTGAAGATTTGAATGTAATCAGGCCCAAGCCCAGTGTTTTCAAAAAAGCTCCTAGGTAGTTCTAATGTGTAGCCCAGGTACCTGTGATTTATAGCTGAAGTCTAGAGAGGATTATCCAGGAAGATACAGTGGGCCAGACTGAGCCAGAGCCCAGGCTGGAACTGCTAAAAATATAGCCTATGACATAGGTTATCGACAAGATTATTAAATATACAGCTAACTCGCAATTACAGTTTGCAAACTTCTAATCGCAGACTGTTCACTCCTGCTTACTAGCGATCTACATTAATTTTTACACTTTTCACTTTCCAACTTTTGAGAATGCCTCAGATACTTCATGATTCTGTGATATAATCTTCCTACAGGGTTTATTGGTAATAGGTTTCAGTTTTGGGGATTAGTGACATCTGCATTTTAGTAGCTGCAGGCAGAACTAGCTAATGCCACTTCTTGTTTCTCCTTTGCTTCCTAATTGTTAGTGCATTTGTTTCTTAGCGTTTAAAAACCTCTCTTTGTACTTTGCTTCTTTTGAGTTTTCCCTAACTCTGGCATTTTCCTACAAGTCACATAAAAATATGTCTTTTGGGGGGCGCTAGGTGGCTCAGTCAGGTGAGCACCTAACTCTTGATTTCTGCTCAGGTCATGGTCTCAGGATCCTGAGATTGAGCCGCACGTCACGTCGGCTCCATGCTCAGCGGGAAGTCTGCTTGAGATGCTCTCTCTCCCTCTCCCTCTGCCCCTCCCTCCCTTTCTTTCTCTAAAATAAATAAATAAATCAATCTTAAAAAAATGTGTCTTTCATAAGCAAAGGCCATGGTAATAATCCCTTTGTGATGTGTGATGTGAAGGAGATTAATAGAAAACTACACATTTACTGAGAATGATGAAGGTATAAAGGGAAAATTGCCTTGAGTCACAGAAATAAAAATGATTTAGGGAAAGAGAAAGAAGAGATAAAGGAGAAAAATAGAAAAATGAACCCTAGGAAAAGAAGAGGAGAAAGGGGAAAAGAAAAGAAATGTAAGACTGAACTTCTGGTCTACATCCTTCTCACTCACATCCTAACTACAGAGGTCCCCAAACATTGACTTTATATTCTCAGGAATGCCAGAAAGACACGCCATAAGCTGCTCAGTCATCCACTCAGGCTGCAGTGATATCTGAGACATCTATCCCTCCTCATCATTCCCTATAAAATCAAAGTCTCTCTGGATTACTCGTGCCCCATTCTGACTGTCAGATTCTGGCCACATTCTGGGCCTCAAGACAACCCAACCTACTTTTGGGTTTTTTTGACTTCTTGGAGATAATGACTCTCAATAGGATTGGCCTGGTACAAAAGTGAACTTTTCAAAATTACCTGAGTACTCTGGTCACACTGCAGTTTGAAACACATGAACTCTGGGGCACAAAATTTTGGGGCAGGAGCACTCCAAAGCCACCATGGAATCTCAAGGTCAAAATGAATAGGCCTGCCCTAATATTTACTAGACTGGGGCAAGAGCAAAAATGGAGGCCCTCACACCATACACTAGATATTTAAATGATATAAATCAAGATAACAGCCAGATAAAATATATCCTATCTTCTGGTTTAGCAAATATATCTTAATAAAGACCTGGAAGGCAGGTTCAAATATGGCATTCTTGGACTTCTTGAGTTCTATGGAGGAAGGTGGTGATAGAATGAGAGCCAGCCCCCTGTCCCCGGTCTTTCCTTCTTTCCCCACTGCAGGCTCCACATTGCACCAAGGGGGCCTATGGTCAAACTTAGGTGTATACCCATGGTGGCACAGTCCATCTTTAGCCTGTGTAGGCCCTGGAAACAGACCGAGGATGCCAAGAAATTCCAATGTCTTAAGTATTCAGTGAATGTTCTAGAACAGCAGTTCTCAACTGGGGGCAATTTTGCCCCTCAGGGAACATTTGGCAATTTCTGGAGACATTTTGTTTGTCACAGCTTGAGGATGGGGGTGTTAGGAGCATCTAGTGGATAGCGGCCAGGGATGCTACTAAAGATCCTACAAGGTACAGGATGGCCACCACAAGTAGTTATCTGACCCAAAATGTTAACAGTGCCAAGACTGAGATATCCTGCTGTAGGTTGGACACAAATACCGTTCAAGATCACAAGATACCTTGGACATATTGTGGGTTTGGTTCCAGACCACCACAATAAAGTAAATATTGCAATAAAGTAAGTTGGATGAAATTTTTGGTTTCCCAGTGCATGTAAAAGTTATGTTTACACACACAATAGTAAATGTGCAATAGCATTATGTCTAAAAAAGTGTATATACCTTAATTTAAAAATATCTTATTGCTAAAAAATGCTAACCATCACCTGAGCTTTCAGCCAGTTTATAATCACTGATCACAGATCATCATAACAAATATAATGGATAATAAAAAAGTTTGAAATATTGTGAGAATTACCAAAAACGTGACACAGAGACATGAAGTGAGCAAAGGCTGCTGGAAAAATGGTGCCAGTGGGTGCCTGGCTGGCTCAGTCAGTGGAGTGTGTGACTCTTGATACCAGGGTTGTGAGTCTGAGCCCCACATTGGGTATACAGATGATTTAAAAATAAAATCTTTGGGGAAAAAAAAGAAAGAAAAGAAAAATGGTGCCCACAGACTTGCTCAATCAGGGTTGCCACAAACCTTCAGTTCATAAAAAATACATCTGCAAAGAGCAATAAAGTGAGGCACAATAAAATGCGGTATGCCTGTATTTAAATTCCATAATCCTGTTCTAGAAGGAGGGGTAAGATTCTGGGTGGGAATACCCTCTTGGCTCCACAGACTCTCCCTCACAGGATATCTGGCTTGGGGAGGGACAGAACAGAGCCTTCTAAAGTACGGGCCCAGGGCCAGGGACTCCATTGTGCAGGTGGGAGGGCAGTACTGGGAATGAATTTAGAGTACCCTCTGGGGTCCTCTAAACCTGTAGGAGACAAAGCCCTTCCACTGACCAAAACAGGGGGCTGTCCAGGCTTCATCTGAATATCTCAAAAGAGGACCAACTCCCTGTCCCAGGGCTGCTCTTTGTATCCAGGGGTTGGTCCCTGGGCTGGTCCCCTGGCAAGCTCATATAATGAAATGACACCTGACTCTCTAACTTCCTGGAACCCAAAGAAAATTAGACCTTGGGCAAAGGCCCTTTGGCTAGCATTTGCACATTTATGCAACTTACTAGCATACACCAATTATCTGGCGAATACTAGTAAGTACAAGCAGGAAAATTACAAATATGTGCACTTTCTAGAGGCTGATAAAAAATGTGGATTGTGTATGTTTGATAGAGGACGCCTTAGAATCCAAGGGTCTAAATAAGTAAATAGGATAAAGTGTAGCCCACATGCGGCTGAAGCAGCCCCTGTCCTTGTTTCACTCTGGCGTTGAATTAGGCCTCGGTATTTTGTCATCCTTACAACTGAATCCTCCTGAATGAGTATTAGAAGGAAATACAGATTGTGGTGAAGAGTTCTCAGGAAATGGGGAGGATTTAAAAATCCCACAAAGCAAACAGAACAGAAATCCCCAGCAGGCAGAGCTGTTCTCCTTCAGGTCTGTCCCTTCTTGGTCCCTGTCCTGGTCTCTTTGTTTCCACTTTTCTTTTCAGGACACTTTCCCCATCTCTTCTTTGGAGTCGAGTAGGTCCAGCTCTTGGCCCCAACTTGCCTGCTTCACTGGGCAAGAAAAACACCTGCAAGTCAGGTTCTCAAAGTGAGGTCGCAGGCCAGCAGCACCAGTGCTACCTGGGAACAAGTTAGGAATGCAAGTTCTGGGTTCCCATCCCAGCCCCACCGAGTCAAACACAGCAACCTGCAGTTTAACGAGCCCTTTGGGTGAGTTTAATGCACACTCTCATGTGAAGGTAAACTCACCCCTTCCTCCAAAAACAGTTCAGCCACCTTTGTTGGCGTTCCATCAGGCATGCCCTGTGGGGATGGAAGATGAAGACTCTCCTCCCCTCCATACCCCCAGCCCCCATGGCTTATCAAATTATTCTCCCAACAGAAGTGTGTGTGGAGGGGGTGGAGGGCGGGTAGGAGTCTCAAAGCCCTATCTGTGCAAACAAATTCATGGCCCTTGCGAAAAAAATGCTAAGAGAACTTAATAAAAGGTGCTACAGTCTCCTGTACATCTTTGTAGACATTTCAGAGCACACAGTGAATATGTTTATCCTTAAAATACACAAAAATAGTTTGTACTGTTTGCTCATTTCATGTTTTTGAAATATCTCCCTTGGGGGAGCCTGGGTGGCTCAGATGGTTAAGCGTCCGCCTTCAGCTCAGGTCCTGGCTCCCAGCTCAGCAGGGAGCCGGCTTCTCCCTCTGCCTCTGCCGCTCTCCCCCGCTCACGCTCTCTCTGTCTCTCTCTCCGAAGTGAATAAATAAAATCTTTAAAAAGAAAAGAAAAGAAATCGCTCCCTAGAAGGCTAAGTAAGATTCCGCGCCTGGGGTGTAACTGGTGTGCCCACTCTGCCCTTCTCCCTGACGGTTGAGGCAGGAGAGCCCGACAACACCCGAGAGAGGTGCAGAAGCCAGTGCTGACGATCTGGTATTTTTACGGTCGTGGGCCTTGTCAAACAGGGAAAAGGTGACAAGAACACAGAATTCCGCGAACCAAACTGGTAACGCTGTGTGCCAAGGACTAAAAAAAAAACTGCAGGGAAGAAAAGGCGAGGGCAGGGACTGAGATGCGCCGACTGAACACACCCTCGGAAACCCAAAACACAAGAAACGAAACGACAAAAAGCACCCAGCTCGACGCGTCCCAATTTAACAGATGAGCCAATTTCTAAGAAACAGATGAGACAATGTTCTTATAACCAAGGACATTTCCACACAAAGTGACTTAATAAAGGCGTGCCACGTATACCTCATTTTCCCAATTTCGCGTACTGTCATCTACGGATTGGAAGGGAAAGGCCGGGTTTTTCCACAATTCCATGTTTCTGGGCGTTCTAGAGCCGCGGGGCGGAGGGAGCCGGCGGCGTGGGACGCAAGGATCCCCACGCGGCCCCTTGGTCCCGCCCCCGGCCGGTCACTCCGGGCCACTCGCGTGCCGACGCCTCGTGGGGAGCGGGCTGAGCGCGCGGGCGGCGATTGGTTCCGGGCCAGGGTGGGCGGGGCGCGGAGCTCCGGCCTATAAGGGCGCGCGGCGCGACCACCTCGGTTTGCGTCGGCGTCTTCTGCTGCGTCCTCCGCCGTCTTCGGAGTCCTCACAGCCTTCGGAAGCCGGACCGGAGCGCGGCCTCGCCAGCCATGGAGATGAAGGCCGTGTGCGTGCTGAAGGGCCAGGGCCCGGTGGAGGGCACCATCCACTTCGTGCAGAAGGCAAGGGCTGGGGCGGCGGCCGGAGGCCGGCGGCGAGGCCGTGCCCGCGCACCTGTGCCCCCGAGCGGCGGCCGGCCGGGCCTCGCGCCGCCCTCGTCACGCCCCCGCCGCGTCGGGTCTGCGGGTTCGCGCCGCCCGAGGCCTCTGCCCCGCGGCGGTGCGGCGGCCGAATGCTGAGTCACCGGGCGGGCCGGGCGGGGGCGGCGGTGCGTGGCGAGGCCTGGGCGCGGGTGCAGGGAAGGAGCAGCGGCCGACCCTGGGGGCGTTGCTCGGAGCGCGGGCCCGGGAAGGAGGGCGGAGGCCGGCTGGCCCGAGGGCCTGGGCCGCCTCCGTGGCGTCTGTAGGCCGGGGCGGAGACGTGACGTTCTTGAGGAGGCTGTGGCCCTTCCCTTGCGGGGTCGTTTTCTGGGTCTTGAGGCTCCTGCGGACTCGAGTTGCGCAGTCCCGGGCCTGGCCCGCCCTTGGGGCGGGGACGGGGGCGGGGAGTGCGGCAGGGCCACCTGGGCACAGTCGCATCCGTTAGCCCACTTTGGGGCTTCCTTTCCGCTCAGGGGTCTGCAGCGTGCAGCCTGTGGGCACGGGCGGTCCCGGGGCGGGTGTCGTACAGGCCCGGAGCTAAGAGGATGGCTGGCACTTGGTTCGTTCCGAGGGTCCTGAAAAACAAGAATCATGTGACTGTCGAGGCAGAAATGAAAGCCTTGAGTCCCTGAAGCAGGAATTAGTAAAAGCTTAATGTGCACAGACACCGGAAGATAGTCGTGAACCGGGAGCACTCAGGCCAAACCGTGGAATGAGGATGAGGGGTATATGGTCATAAAGCGGCTTATATAGTGAGAAGGCAGGGACTGCTTATTTTTCACAGTGATGGGTCATGATAGTTTTTTTTTTTTTAAGATTTTTTATTTATTTATTTGAGAGAGAGAGAGAGAATGAGAGACAGAGAGCATGAGAGGGAGGAGGGTCAGAGGGAGAAGCAGACCCCCCGCTGAGCAGGGAGCCCGATGCGGGACTCGATCCCGGGACTCCAGGATCACGACCTGAGCCGAAGGCAGTCGCTCAACCGACTGAGCCACCCAGGCGCCCTCATGATAGTTTTCTTAAACGGTGAGAAATTGGTTAGTGGTTACCACATACCGGCCTAGGGATTCAAACAGTATTAGCTTTTGCTTAGGATTTCCAGAAGCATAAATAAGAAATGACCGGGGTCAAGTTAGTCTTGCAAAGTAAGCCAATTAAGCTATGCTTTTATGACTAAATTCGTTTTGTCTGATCGGGGAATTTTCAAGGCTGGTTTCATGTTTTTGACTTTAGCAGGACAGAGACCTTATGTGGCCCCTTACAGAAAAGTTTGCTGACCCTTGCTGTAGGTCATGGTCAGGCTGTAAAGGCAGAGAAGATGGCCTTGGACAAAGCTCCTTTTCCACCTCCGGAGATCTAATCGACTCCCTTCTTGGTTGTTTTCCAAACCTGTGATTTTTTTTTTTTTTTTTTTTTAAACCCTGGGTGCACAGTAGCCCCATTTGGGGAGCTTTTAAAAAAAATGTTGATTCCAGAGCCCAACTCCAGATCAGTTATATCAAAATCTGTCAGGGTGCAGTCTGACCATTGCTGTTTTTAAAGTTTCCACAGTAGTACTAGTTTGCACCAAGAATTGAGAACTGTTGGCAGAGGGTAGTGGATAGGGTTTGGGAGTTGGAAGTCAGATGTGGAGAGTTTCACTTAACTCTGTTGTTGGGGCATTCATTTAACCAAATTCTCTGTAAAGTGGTTTTGAAATTGCTCTACCAATAGGCTCACTGCTGAAATGGTCAAAAAATAAACTATACAGGGCGCCTGGGTGGCTCAGTTGGTTAAGCGACTGCCTTCGGCTCAGGTCATGATCCTGGAGTCCCTGGATCGAGTCCCGCGTCGGGCTCCCTGCTCGGCAGGGAGTCTGCTTCTCCCTCTGACCCTCCTCCCTCTCATGCTCTCTGTCTCTCATTCTCTCTCTCTCTCAAATAAATAAATAAAATCTTAAAAAAAAAAAACAAAAACTATACAGAAGTACTCAATAATATTGCAAAACATGGGGCGCCTGGGTGGCTCAGTCGGTTAAGCGGCTGCCTTCGGCTCAGGTCATGATCTCAGGGTCCTGGGATCGAGCCCTGCATCATGGTCCCTGCTCAGCGGAGAGCCTGCTTCTCCCTCTTCCTCTGCCTGCCTCTCTGCCTACTTATACTCTCTCTCTCTCTATCAAATAAATTCTTAAAAAAAAAAAATATTGCAAAACACATGTTTTACAAGGAAGGTGCTTGTGATAAGACTGTCCCCGAAATCTTAGTGAGGTTAGGAACTGATGGAAAACTGTTGTTGTACTTGCCTTGATAATCATAACAATATTTAATATACGAATGAGATTTAATCTTTAAAGTGGCTTACAGAAATGTGAGAGGACATGGAAAGTAATCTTTGAAATTTATGCGAGGGAGCTTAATTTTTTCCTTTAAGTGGTTTCCAAATTTTCTGGAAAAGGCTTTGTCATTTGACTAAATTTTGCTGTTTTCAGTTGCCAGACTTTGTTTTGCTCCTCTTCTTTCCTTATATAATTTCGCCAGTACTAGAGAATCTAAGAAGCCTCTGAGGGATACCTTCCCTCTGGCCATGGAGAAATGGCTTGGGTGTTAACCTTCAGAAGCCAAGCTGTGAATCCATACATAATTGAGTTTTTCCACCTTCCCTGAGTTGCGGGTGTGGCTCCCTCTTTTAAGTTCCAAACTTCATTTTGGTGGTGCTGTTTGCACCTGATAAAAGATCCTTGTGTAGTTAAGCATTATAGCTCTATGGCTATGCAGGAATGTTAAATTGGAAATAAACTGTATTTGTTTGGCCTAGAGTGTTAAAATTTTGGATTAATTTCCAATTTTTAAAAATCAGAAATTTCCACCTGTGAGTCCAAATTACTAGCTTTTCTTGAAAAATTTGGAGATCTGCCCACACTGAGCCCTCATTAGCTCCGGGCAGCACCCTGCAGGACTGAGTTTATATTCCTTTTTGCTTCCCTGACCTGTTTCAGTCAAAATAACAGCCTGGCCCCTATAGGGTTGTACCCAGGCAGCTTACTGTTGAAATGCTCATATGTGCTCTGTGCATTACCCATTACCCATTAATGGAGGCTTGGAAGAACCTGCCCTTTTGTCTCTATGCTGTTGATAACACAGTGCGTTTTGGGGAGAAACATTCATGTTTTAGTTTTTCCAGAATTAAAGCTTAGAAGAATCCTAGTCTCTTCTCAAAAAGAAAAGCAAAGAAGGGGACAGGAGTTGACATACTACTTCCTTTGAGCAGTGGTATTTATCCAGTGGAAAGTCAAATATCCAAGACTAACACCTCTTGTAACTGTTGGCCCTGGCAGTTAAAAAACCTAGCTAAAGGGCGCCTGGGTGGCTCAGTTGGTTAAGCGACTGCCTTCGGCTCAGGTCATGATCCTGGAGTCCCTGGATCGAGTCCCGCATCGGGCTCCCTGCTCGGCAGGGAGTCTGCTTCTCCCTCTGACCCTAACCCCTCTCATGTGCTCTCTCTCATTCTCTCTCTCTCTCAAATAAATAAATGAAATCTTAAAAAAAAAAAAAAAAAACCTAGCTAAAAACAAAGACACCATCATGTGTTGTATAACTGTGCGGTATGGATGCTGTGTGCATTTTGTTTTTGTTCCTAAGATCTCTTAGCTGTAAAAGTTAACTTCCTTTATTTCTGTATGCACCCTGCAGCACTATTACCTATTACCATTGCCTGCATGGCGATACCTGTGTGTTTTTCTGCTGTAGTGTTTTTATTGCCCTTTCTTTTTGGTCTCCAGTGGAAAGGTTATCTAGGTTTGAAGGCCTAAAATGACTTTGGAAAACAATACCGTTGCTTAGACCAGAATCAGTCACCCAGGGAAAGTGGGATAGAATATTTTCTGTCTATTAATAAAAAATATCTATGCTGGAGACTGATAAATACCCCCCCTAGTGGGTGAGTGGAGAACGGGGATCCTACGACAACTAGTTGGACATTTCCAAGGTGTCTTTTTCTTTTCTTTTTTTGATGGCAAATCTGTATGTTTGCTCGGAAGAATGTCTGCATGAAGAAAACGAGGTGCTATGATGTGCTACCATTTGTGTTAAAAAGTTTGAATAGGGCGCCTGGGTGGCTCAGTTGGTTAAGCGACTGCCTTCGGCTCGGGTCATGATCCCGGGGTCCTGGGATCGAGTCCCGCGTCGGGCTCCCTGCTTTGCGGGGAGCCTGCTTCTCCCTCTTCCACTCCCCCAGCTTGTGTTCCCTCTCTCGCTGTGTCTCTCTCTGTCAAATAAATAAATAAAATCTTTAAAAAAAAAAAAAAGTTTGATATATACTCATATATTCAGCAGGTGCAAATATAATGTATTCAAAAGCATTTACAAAATAAAGAAGAACTTATTCTTGTTACATATCCATTGTAAGGGAGTCAAGCCTACAAAGTCTATAAATCCACCATTTTTGTGCTCACTCGCCCCTCTGCTAGGTGCGTTTTCTGTGCTATTGTGATACCTGCTGCATGGCTCCTGCGCTCTGTTAGAACAAGGTCACATCTCCCTTGTGTTGGTCCCCAGCCTAGAACAGTTAAATAGCTTGCTAGAAAGTGGTAGGCCTGGGATTTGGACACAGATCTTTTGACTCCCACGTCCATGTTCCTTCCATTTTCCTGTGGTTGGTAAAGGTAATTCAACTGTTTTCTTTATTCAGAAGCGCTTGCTCTCTCAAACTTTTTGCACTTTTCTTTGACTAAAGGGAAATGGGCCTGTTGTGGTGTCAGGAACCATTACAGGATTGACTGAAGGCGAGCATGGATTCCACGTCCATCAATTTGGAGATAATACTCAAGGTGAGTATTGTGTTGGTCTAGTGACTCCTACTTGTTTGAGCTAGTAAGATAAATAGGACCGGGTAGAGCTACCCTTAAACATTAAAAACCCTCAACATGCAGGAAAAAAAATAAAGTCAGTAGGATTACTAAGGTTAACCTTAGGGAAATGAGCCAAAAAACTGGTTTGTGACTCTTAAGTGTGGAAAGGAGAGGAAGAAGTTGATGTTTTTTTGTGTGTGGGTTTTTTTTTTAAGATTTTATTTATTTGACAGAGAGACACGGCGAGAGAGGGAACACAAGCAGGGGGAGTGGGAGAGGGAGAAGCAGGCTTCCCGCTAAGCAGGGAGCCCAGTGCAGGGCTCGATCCCAGGACTCCGGGATCATGACCTGAGCTGAAGGCAGATGCTTAATGACTGAGCCACCCCGGCGCCCCGAAGTTGATGTTTTTTAAGCATGTTTATACCTTGATTATAAAAAGAGTTTCAAGTATTTTTTAGGAAAACAATAAAAAACAAAAATTAACCTACTTTCTTACCTTCCATAGTAATCTCAGGTGTTTGTGAGCTGGGGTTGAGGGTGGATGCATCAAGCACAGGGTCTGCATTTATTTGCATTACTCTGTAAGAATAGCTCCATCCCTCCAACACAAGAGCCTTAGTGGGACAGAAGGTAAAATCTGAAAAAAAGAATGTAAACTATTGGTGCTTTTGATTGAGTTTCATTTTCTCAGTTTCGGATTAGAAGCAAGTTAACAAAAGCTTATGGGTTAAATGCATTTAGTCATCTTTTACTATATTCGAGTAACCTGAACTCAGTGTTTACTTTTTATGATGAGAACCTGATTCACTCGTCTTGCTGGATTTGTTTTTATGTTCTGTAATTTGGTTCCTATAAAAATTGTGATTTAATGACCAGCTTTGATCCATTTTGCCAATTGAAATTCCTCAGGTTGCTCTTTTTTTACTGCCTCTGTTTTGGGAGGCATTTGCCCTGTGTCTTTGATTTACTGTGCTACTTCCCTTAACCTGTGTGTCTTCTCCCTGGGGAAGCTGGGTTGAAGCTGTAAACAATGGAAACTCTTGGTCACCTGCTGAGTGAAGAAAGCCTGTCACTAAAGAACCTCCTGCACTGTGGTGGTGGTTCTGTGAGAATGGCTTTCCCTGAAGCACAGGAGTGCCATTTTTCCAGAATATATTCTGAATGCCGCCCTTGGAATTCTGTGAGGCAACAGCCTTGGCTCATAGAAGGTGCCATTTATATTCTGCTTGTACCAAGTAAAGGCCACCAACAGTAGTTGCTGGTAGTATGTTGCCGGGGAGGTAAGTTTCTTGTAGTTAAGGTTCGCTACCTTAGAAACCAGGATCATAATCATGGGATTTTAATAATAGAAGAACCATGAAGATCAAGTCCTGGCCCTCTTATTTTACAGGGCAGTGAAGAAGCCAAAGCCCAGAGAAGGGTATTACCTTTACTGGTGTTACACACTAGTTAGAATTTGTTTCTACTGCTTGCCTATTTTGTTTATACTAAGTTGTTGCTTCCTGTTTTTATGAACCTAGAAGTCATGATGGTACGTCAGTATTTTCTGTATTTGAGGTTTTAGCAATGACCAGTTTCTTTTTAGAATTTATTTTGAAATTCTGATTCATAATTTGGCTACCTTTGTTTTTGTTTTTGGCAAATAGGCTGTACCAGTGCAGGTCCCCACTTTAATCCTCTATCCAAAAAACACGGTGGGCCAAAAGATCAAGAGAGGTGAGTGACAAAGCGCTTTAATGCTTACTAAAATTATGGCGATGGCTTGTTGGGGTCAGTGTGGGTATACTACTTGCAGATTGCATGCTGATGGAACTGTGAGTAGGCCTCCCCACCTCTGCTCTTGAATTTGTTGCCCCCCCAAGTAACCCCTTGGCCCCAGGTGCTAGAGCGGCTTACTCTCTGGGCTGAGGAATTGACAAATGGGGACAATTAAGACGATTTGGTTTTGTAGCATTTATTGAATATAGAACTAATACAAGTGCCAAAGGGAACTAATACAGGAAATGTCATGAATAACAAACAGTACTGTCAACCACTAGCAATATAAACCATCATTGTGAAACACAGGAAGCCTTGTAGATAAAAATTTGATACTGAAAATTCAGTGAGTCCATTTGTGTGTTTCCTGAGAGCCTTTCAGGAAAATATTAAATTTAAGGACAGGGATTAACTTATTTTAATAACAGAGGCCTGGCACATAGCATTCTTAGCCATGCCAAGTATTAACAGGTTTAACTCAGTAACTCCGAGTTTACCCTTTGGTACTTTACCTCTGACATTAGAGATGTGCCCCCATCCCACGATTCTTCCCAGAGCATTACTTTGTAGATTTTAAGTTTTGTTTGAAGAGCAATGTGTCTAGAATGTCAAGTCGTTTCTAGTTGTGTATGTTCCAAAATTCTGTCAATCTGGAAGAGTGGGTCCTGATACATTCCATATCCACCTCTTAGTGACCACCCTTATATATGTGACTCACCAACTAGCCTGATGTTAAATGGAAGTCAGTCCTAATTCCTGATGCTTTTTCAAAACTGTTAGGCATGTTGGAGACCTGGGCAATGTGACTGCTGGCAAGGATGGTGTGGCCACCGTGTCCTTGGAGGATTCTCTGATCGCACTCTCAGGAGACCATTCCATCATTGGCCGCACAATGGTGGTGAGTTTTCATATGCTAGGATATGTGTACCATTTCTTCTAATACACAGACATGTATCTTTTCACGAGTTCATGATTATTAATCCTGGTTTCTAAGGATCCACGTACATTGTACCTTTAGTTCAGATTAGGAAAAGCAATTACTTTATATGATTACAGTGAAGGTGAATTAATGATGTAGGTGGTTATGACACTCTTCTGTGGAACTGTGGTCGTTAAGTAGGTTACATTTGGTCATATTAGATGTGTACTGTGGAAACAGCAGTAGTCTTTGTCTAGTTTTAAAATGGCCAGATTTTCCTGCCACAATTGAGTGTCCCCCTTGTAGTTAAACAGAACATTTTGTTAAGTCTAAAATCTGAGACGGACCTCAGCGTTAGTATTTATTCATGTCTGCAGGTCACCATCACTTGTTTAACGTGTGGGAAGCGATTGCCCTGAGTTACCCACGGGAGCTGCATCTGGTTCTCGCAGACACCAAGTAGCGTAGGCTCTGTGTTGCCTGCCCCAGAGGACAGTTAACGTTCTGTAGTCCTTTCCTTCCAGGTGACCCTAGAGTTTTCTTCAGCTATAGTTGTGAAGCAGAAAAATCATTGATCAATGTTTGAGGAGCCAAATCTAAAATACTATTTAAGTAGTTGAAGATACTTCTTATTTACAGACTCATAGTTCATGAGGCGCATTTTTGAGTTTCTTTAGAAATTCACTTTCATTCCCCCCGCCCCTTTTTTTTCCCCAAAGTGTTTATTGTAAAAGAAGGCTATTTACTCAGGCTACTAAAATTTCTCCCAGAGGATTCAAACTGGCCCATGGCAGCCTGTAACACTTGTCTTGGGTTTTTAGTATTTTGTTTAGATAGCAACACTTACCTAGTGTTTACAACGAACTTAGTCTGTATCATGAAGAAAAAGCTTTGAGTAGTAGTTTCTATTGTTTAGCACTAGATCAAATATTAGCATATTTCCTTGCTAGGATTATCTTAACGTGATCTTTTCTAATATTAAGTGGTTCTTAAAAGTCTTTTGGGTATTGTTGGGAATAGGTGGTAATTATTTGACAGTGCTGTGTTAATGTTCTTAAAACTTTTTAAAGGTCCACGAGAAACGAGATGACTTGGGCAAAGGTGGCAATGAAGAAAGTACACAGACAGGAAACGCTGGGAGTCGTTTGGCTTGTGGTGTCATTGGGATCGCCAAGTAAATATTCCCTAGGATGTGATCTGAGTCCTGAGTAGCTACTGTGTTATCTTGCTAGTTGTAGAAATTTAACTTGATAAACATTAAACACTGTAACCTTAAAAGTGTAATTTGTGTGACTTTTTAATTGCTTTAAGTACCTGTAATGAGAATTGATTTATGATCACTTGGAAGATTTGTATAATTTTATAAAACTCCTCTTCAGTTAAAATGTCTGTTTCAACGATCTCTGTATTTTGCCAGGCTTAATAATCATATATGGGTATTAAACTTAATTGTCTGAATTTCTTCAATTCTCATTCAAGCCCGCAATAAATACACCATATGGCACTGAATTTTGAACCTATTAAAGTATCCAAATCGAAACTCTAAATTAGCTCTTGATACTCATACATAGAGCTTGAATGGAACGGATTTAGTAATATGTTGACAGATACTACCTGTTTCATAGAGGTCGCTTTTCGGAGTGTTTTAAATAAGATAAGATGTTTAAATTTTTAGCAGCTGGTCTTTTAGCTAACACTAATAACCTCAATTGGAATCTTGGTTGGACAGATATCGTTTGTCAGTTTCAGGGAAATTAAGGTTGTTTCCCTGATTAGCTACTTAGCATTTTGATTAAAAAAGTACTTGTTTATTTTAAACAGAAGATGTTACGGTTTGAGAGAACGCTTTGATAAATTGTGAACAGCAAGTTATAGTCTCAGCTAAGAGTAAATTTACCTACCTGCCAAAATGGCACATATTCCACGTTTTATACACCCATGAACATTTAGTTTTAAGTAGAGATTGGCACAATCTGCTTCCAAGTTAGCCATTGAAAGAAAGTTACCATAGCATTTTAAGATGGGACCAAGGAAATGTTTGAATGTGGGTTATGTCTGTTTAAGAATTTACACATCCAGTTAGTAAATTTAAGTCGTTCTCTTATTGTAAATACTTAATTATGTACCTATAGAGAAACTGCTTTTAAATGAAATGTTAACCTAATTCAGGTTTGACTCTGGATTACAGTTTTAACTGAAAATTGTAGAATATTTCTGAGAAATCAGAAATAAGCTACAATTCTGACTGATCATAAATATATACTTTTATCAAATGTGTAGGATATTGGTTAGGAGAGGAAAAGCCAGCGTGGAAAAGGACAATTTGTAGTGTTCTCAAAGTTTTAAAATTGGTGAAAAAAGAACAACATGCTCAGAAGTGGTTAAAATCACGGTCAGAATTGAAAAACAGTAACAGATTTCACTAATGTACAGTTTTGGTGTACATATGTGGGATAAGACTCACATATAGGGCCTCACTTGTGAGCCTCAAGTGTAATCACTACCACTTAGTACTTGGGGGGGGGGGTTGTCATGTGCAAATAGGATGGTTCCAATACCTTACAATTGGATATACGGGTTTTAAGTCCTTGAAATCTGAACACTAATCAGATGTATATTTCTTTCCAGAAGCAGTTTCAGTTAGGACTTTTAAACCTCTCAGGTGGGCCAACATCAAACGAAGGACAAGTTTTATAATTCAAGTGCAGATATCAACTTGGATTTTCTCTCCTTTTCTAAAGTCAGGAACACAAGAACATTGTCCTAGATACATTCTCCCCATCAAAACAAAGGTCTTGCTGCAGAGTACTATTTAAAAACCAAAGTAATAAAGTAGCTTCACCTGGGGATGAGGGCAAAGAAAAAGTTACCTGCTCAGCATGCTAAAACTAGGACAGTTTAAAAAGGTAATTTAAGAAAAAAAAGCTTCAACAAGGCCATAAATACTTGGACTGTGTAACGACAGGTCTTTTCCTTGGCACTGGGGAAAGCGGTTTTATGGAACTGCTTTTCTGTACTATTTTAGATACAGGTTTGATTTGGCTTTGGACGTCTTCAAGTAATAGTTCTTGGATAACCTACATCTATTTTTCCTAGTTAACCCGACAATTTAAACAAAGAAAATACTTTATATGTTCTTATATGTGACAAAAAGTTCAGTCTACCTCTGCCCAGCAGGGGAGTTTAAAAAATGTTAAAGAAAGGCAACAGTCAAGGCTTGTAAGGAAACAATAGGTTGCATTTAAGTCCTTAAACATATAAAATAAGACAAAAAGCTTTTAGGTTGCAAATGTTAACCTTGATTTCTTTCACCCTTCTGAAAAATTTAATGGGATGTTAAGAAAACACTCAAACTTATTTCTAGTAAGTAATACCCAGGCAATCAGATAATTCTGTAGTACAGTCGGGTACTTTGGGATCCAGTTTTTCCCCCAGCGAAATTTCTCTTTACAAATTAATTAGGGCAACATTTACCACAAATCCAATGGCAAAAAAGAAAACCGTGATTGAACTGCAAACTAACAAGCTTTTCGATTAACATTAAAACAACTAACCTTTACACCTTGTGATTGAAATGCTGAAATTCATAAGTATTACAAATGAAAGTGTTTGAGAATAACTACATAAAGATGTCTATTTCCATCAAATAAACAAGTCTAATTTAGACTCCAATACAGTATTAACAGCTCAAACTTTGATGGTGAACAATCCTTTTCCACCTTAATGCAGTGTAGGAAGAATAGCACACATTAAAGTTTGTTATGAAAATAGAGTTTATTAAAAACATCCCTATTGTTTTGAGGAGCTTTCACCGTTACCTTGTCTTAAATTAAAAAAAAAAAAATAGAGAGCACTTCTAATTACGATTTGTAAACTTTTTAAAGTCAAAACTTTTAAAAAGTTACAGCAAAAAGGGTAATATTTATTCATATTTTCAGTATTTTTTGTTATTTTGTGGCTATTTTTAAATAGAAGGGAAGCAATCAAATTGCTTACAAGACCCCACCAACTACTGCGGGGCTGTGATATAGCAGGAGCAAATATAATACAGCATCTGTACACCTCAAGCTCTACACTCCAGAAGTGTCACTGTCACATTTTGACAAATTCCAGTCTCTAACGAGGAGCCTCTGCTGCTGAGCCAGAATCCTTTTCGGGTTCAACGGATGAGGTAGCCTCAGCAGGTAGCTCTTCAGAAGATTTTACAACTGCAGACTCAGACTCCCCCTTATCAAGTTCTGAAACAGTGTCTACATTTCCCACTTGGCTAATGGGAGGTTCAACGGTTTTGTTACCACCTGCCCTGTCTGTGACCTCAGGCTTCTCCTTTCCTCGGTTTTCTTCCTTCTCTCTACGAGACTCTCTATCTCTCGAATCTCTCTCTCTGTCTCGATGCCCACTAGAGCGTCTATTCCTCTCTTCCAAGTCTCTGTGCCTGTCCCGGTCAGGGCTCCTTCTTCCCCACTCTCTCCTCTCACGATTACTATTCTCTCTATCATCGTTACGGCTCCCATACCGTTCCCGGTCATTTTCCACCCTATTTCCAAAAGATCTTCTTCCAAACCTCTCTTGGTCTCTACCTGAATTGAACTGCTGCCTGTTATCATTTCTAAACGGCTGTGGCGGCGGCTGCGCAGACGGCGGCGGCTGGGCGGGCGGCGGCTGCTGCTGTGGCTGCGGCTGGGGCGGCGGCGGCGGCTGGGCGGGTTGCTGCCTGCCGTCTCTGTCCTCGGGGCCCCCTGGGCCTGGCCCTGGGCCCCCAAGCCCTGGCATTCCGCCCGGCCTAACAAAGGGGCCATGCGGTGGAAAGGGGCCTTTCATTCCATGAGGTGGAGGCATTCCAAAGCCCCCCGGTCCTGGAGGGGGGCCTCTGTGCATCATATGCGGCGGCATGGGGCGAGGTGGCATCAGAGGAAACCGCTGTAAGTGCGGTGGAGGCATTCCTGGAGGGCGCTGAAGTGGGATCAGGCCAGGGCGGGCACCAAGAAGACCAGTGGATGGTGCCTGGAGCCCAATCACAGGACCAGGGGCAACTCCTTGGGTACCTAAGAGAAAGTAAAAAAGAAAAAAGGATGTAAAGAACAGAGAAGATGGCATTCTGTTTTCACCTGTTTCCTGTGGAGCCTGAATCAAAATGAAGTTCAATCCAGAATCTTCCAATCCTGTGTTGTTTGCCAGTCTACCTGTGAGAGACTCAATGTGATGGCCCAGTAACAACCATGGCACGGTCTTGCAGATACATACTATATATTCTATGAAGATATATGTCTATAGAATTAGCGTATGGATAATTCGTATCTAACGATGGTGGAGGTCAAAATAAGCCGGAAAAGGAAATTACAACATACCAATTTTGGAAAGTCTCCTATAGCCTTCACCAGCAGCTCTTTGGTAAAATACTTAAAAGCATTTGAGAGATACAATGGACTAGGCCTAATGAGAAAAGGCTGAACTATCTGAGCCAATTCTGAAAGCCAGCTCAGGTGTACTCTTAGGAAATTTTACACTTTAAAGTCTTAATACGAGAAACAAATGGGGTCACTGACCCAGAAAATCCACTGAAGAGGGAGGTCTCTTTGATTCCATGTCGTTCAGATGCCTTACTATATACAGTAAGCATCACTTGAACAGTAATGCTTATAAAATAAAGATTGATACACCAGTGGAGAGTTTATTTTTACAGGTTCTTTTTCAAAGCACAGCATAAGGTGTAACTTGCTAGGCCACAACGACGGAATTATGTTCAAAGTTCAGCCATTCATCTTCTATTCATTCTTCCTAAGGCGGCAAGACGAAGTTGGTGCTGTTGACAGCAACAAGGACATACTGGTTTCATTTCCCATTTACATGAGAGTTTGCTCACACTTTGGTTTAAGTCATACAAATTCAATAATCCAGCATTTAAAATGATATGGCAAACAGTATGGATTTCTGTTTCAGCTCACCACTTAAGTAACAGAAAGGCATCATCTCTCTCTTTGCAAATACCAGCATCACAAGCCAAATACAATGACCAACAGGAGTAACTCATTACTGTAACATTGTAACTGTTAACACTGGAAAATATTCCAGATGTTGGAATATGTACTATTTACCCATGTACTGCAGAAAGGCCTCTGAGCAAGTTATGGGTTATGATTCTTGACCAAAAATGGTAAGAGAAATGCATGGGTGACACTGATAAAAAAAACAACCCAAGAGCAAACCCAATACTTTAATACTAAGTACTTCCCCCCACCCTAACATCAGCTTGAACCACTTCCTCCCACGTGCTTCAGCAAACATTGAACAAGTCCTGCTCGCTCCTAAATTTTTTGTGTAAGAAATACGAAACAAAAGTCTAACTTCAGTTTCTGCTCCTCACAACGTGTGGTCCAATACTGTTCTGTCAGACTTAAGGACTAAATAGAGTGGACCTGAAAATAGAGGTACAGCAGTTTGTAACTTTTAACATGAAGACTCAACAACCTTGGTATTTACTTACACACAAGACCTTCCTTCAAATGCTTAAAAAGTATGGTGAAATATAGTCTCACTTAGGAATGACCTTGGACATGTGCCTCAGAAATGAGAATAACACCTGCCTCTTGTTGAGATTAAATGGGATAAAATAAGAGTGAGCTCAGAGCCTTGTCTACAGTTAAATGCTGAAATAACATCTATTCGACAGGTGATAAATATCCTAACATTAAATATCTGACTCCACTAAAATGAATGCATTTTCCATTTCCAATTTGGATCTTATGAACCACTTGTGGCCCCCCCAACATCCACCACAATTTGAAGTCAAGCACTTTGGTAGTTGGGAAAAATGTGAACGCACTGAGCCTTCCACCTGTCAGGTCTAAAGGTAAAATATGCTAAATACCACAGGAAAAAGCTAGAAATTATGAAATGGACTAATGAAGCACAGACCTTGTCTCTTCACACACTCTTCAGACTCTCCTTGAAAATCCCAATGAACATATACAGAACCTACGCATATTTCAGATCGAAATGAATTCACGACGGCAAACGCTGTTCCTATCACTTAGTAAACCCTCAGTGCATACCATACAGCAGGGCAACAAAAGAACCTAAGATACCTCCTTTCTCTCACTTTTAAAAGAAATTAGTCCCAACATTTGTGGACTGTAACTCAACACAAAATGTATGTACCCAAGTTACTGCCCTTTCAATGGAGATAACACACAAACTGAGCTTTACTTTCCCACCAGCCTTTAAAATGACCACTGTTTACTCTGTTCTGGAGTTCAAACTGTGTGGCACATTCGAGTACTTTATAGGCTCAAGAGGCCAAGGCCAAATTTTTAAATAACAATAGAAAAATGGGAAAGAGGTTCAAAGCATCTTATAATAACAAAAGAATTAGGTTCAGATGAATCTTTAAAAGCAAACAGTGACTCTTCCAGGATAATGGAAAGGTCCCATTTCCTGATTTACCCAACACTGGCTTCCTCAACTACCAATCTGACAGTGGCCAAAGGATGCAAGGCCACCTCACCCTTGCACACAACAGATAAATTGGCAATGATACTCTTTAAAATACAAACCTGTCTCTAGGAAGACATCTCTTAAGTCCTTTATAGCATGCATATGAGAGTACAGAGATTGCTTTAATAGGGTTAACATTTACAGTAATCATATATTTAAACTACCTACAAAGCATAATATTTTTATAAAGCAAAAATGTTGCCTTATTCATTGATTCTGTATGTGTGGATATTTGTATTTGCCTATTATACTACATGCTCAAATCCCTTCTCTCATTTGTAAATAAGCAGATTTCCATTTAATCCTTCATGGACCAACATTTAGATTCCCCTGACAGACTATTCCCATAGTCCTAAATGTTGACCTTCAGGCCACAGAAGTGATAAAATTGTGGATTATTTGTTTTGTTTTTTGGCAGTCAACATGTGTTGTTTTTATAATGAAAGCTATATTTAACTAAAAATACACCAGGTGGCATAAGCCCTCGATAGGCATGCTAGCTGAATTTCATTTTTAATTAGGAAAGTTCACATTATACATACATCAATGGACTGTATCATGAGTTACTCTGGTCTAAAGGGCATTCAAAGCAATTATTCATCTGATCTGGAAGTATGACATGCAATGCCACTGACAAGTCTTCTAGAGTTACAGATTAAGAAAAAATTAACTCACACATACTGGACGCCTGAACTTTACATTATTAATTCATTTCATGTGCTACAGATACAAAGATAAATAAAACCTAGTCCCTTCCTTCGAACAGGATACAGCCTAAGTAGAAAGGAACATGCCAACTGCTGGAAGAGATGGCACAAGCTAGTATGGTGCAAAGGTGGAGCTGAGGAAGCTGGTGTGCATGAATCTGAGTGCGGGGCTTAGGGTGTCTGAATGGGGTCTCGAAAGGAAGGAAGGAAGGAAGGACAGCACCAGTCAAGAGAACTGCAACAGAATGTCTTCTGACAAGAGAGAGAAAACAAATACACAAGATGAGGTTTATTACTGAAGCAGCGAGAAGGAATTTGTGCGAATACAAACTTACTATCAGCTAAACTGAAAGAGGTTCCTGAGGCTGAGCAGACGGGCTAGGGCAATTCAGAGGTGTGTTATGCCGCAAGAGGAAAGCTGGACTCTGACTCAAAAGTGATGGGGCGAGGACCAAGGCATTATTTGCAGGGATGATCCTGTGTCCATTTTTGAAAGAGCTTCCTAGCCAGCAGTGTACAGGAGAGCCAGGAAGGGAAAGACAGAGGAGAGAAGGGGGACTCTTACCCCCAGAATCCAGGGGACAGAAACGAGAGACTGGACCGAGACAGAAGGGACAGAGATGAGGAGCACAGCTTTCTGCTCTGAATGAGTAGACGGAAGCATCAACACAGTGCAGGAATTTAGGAAGAAAAGCTATTTTTGGGGAGACAGAGGACAAATTTCTACTGAGAGCTAGAGGAGACTGAGTTAGATCTGGTGGAAATGTACAGAAGAAACTGGTATGTATAGCTAGAGCTCGCAAGAGAAGTCCCAGTGTTACCCACAGTTCAGGTGAGAAACGCGAAGAGTTCAGACCTGAGGAAACACTACCTTAAAGTCTCCGAAATTTTAATACAGCAGATTTTAATGCAGGAAAAGGACAGCCCCAAACATCTGTATTCAAATTTGGTAAGTATAAGAAATACGTTGGAATTTAACTCAAAATAACCAAGACTTAACTGAATATTCCTATGAGTAAAAAAACAGACACTTCACAATTAAAAAATAAGTCAAGTTTAAAGGGGAGATGCCATTGCTATATAGCGCAAAGCTGTCCAGAATTACGTGACATAAAGAACAGGTATGTTAAAGGCTAAAGGGGCAGCGAGGAAGGGGAAGTTGGTATCACGGCTGGAGTCCAATGTGGACCTTGAAATCTCAGAACATAAATAAGGGACACAGTCTTTCTGCCTAACAAGTAGCTTTCTGCTAAGGACTGGGGGGGGGGGGGGGGAGGGAGGACAGGGAGACACATAAAAAGTTACTAAAGGTTTGAATTAAATACTGCGGGCGTGACCCAAATGCATCAGTTAGCTGGATGCCTTTAAAGAGGATGTAAATTTAAGGGGGATCCTTTAAGGAAAGCAAGGACTTGCTAGGTGAAAAGGGGAGGGAGGAAAAGTATGAGAAGGAAACATCTAAAAAGCAAGGCAGTTCTACCTCTACACCAACGATCTTGTCCTCCATCCTACCAAAACCACTGCTTCTTTCAAGTCCTGGACCTTTCATTACAAATACCTGTATTACTTCCAATTTCTCATCTACAAGCATCCCACTCTCTGACCCCCTTCTCAGAATAATTTTTTATCTCATGAAGGTCGGGCCCCCACAATGCCCTTCATTGTCTTTATCTTCCCCTCCTTACCTGCCTTGGAGTCCATGGTCTCCCCTCACAATTGCCTGGAAAAACCTCGATGGTTCTGAATGCAACTTTTCTACCTAATCTGTACACAGACAGGGCTGGGGGGTCACCCCACCCCCAACAATGCCCACTGGTCTCATTTTAAGTTTACAACTGCAACCA